TCAGGCTCAATTGGCGGTGGTTGCTGCGCTCGCGACGTGACCGAGTCGGCTGAGTGGTAGCGCGGTAGCGAGATGGGCAGCCTCGCAGTTGGGCGGGAGTCTCAAGGCGCTAGTTCCGCGGCCGCCTTCGTGGTGCCGGAGAGCCAGCAAAATGTGCCACACGTGCCTGCGAATGGCATTGGTGCCCTTGACGCCCTGCTGGACCTCGATGACATGTCGGCCGACCGCAGCTTCTCCATGCCCCTGTCTCTCCTGGAGCCAGAAGCTGGTCCGGGAGGGTGTCCGGCATGGTGTTCTAGCTGTCCACCAACCCCGTTCGCTGGGGCAGCGACACCGACTCTGCCAGATCACCATGCTCGCCAGCGCCTAGATCAGCTAGACAATGAACCCCTTGTTGAACCATGGACGTACGTTTCCCAGACACCTCTGTCGATAGACAACAGGAGCCCGCGAGATTTTGCTTTCCACCTTCCCTTCAGGTTTTTCCCAACAAACACAACGCACGACCAGACCACCAACATTGGCACTTTCCTCGACGACTGTTCATATTTCCATATCGGCAACAGCGAGCGCCATCATCAGCCCGACCTGGGCTTAGACAACTTCGGTCCATTTCACGTCGACGTCAATCTTCCAAGGAGTCCTGTCTACCGCTCATTTTACCTTTCTCCCCCAGCTTCGACAAAAAGTCTCGCCTCCGAACCTTGCGCATTTCACCATTATTTCGATAATTCCAGCAGCAGCTTCTCGAGCATCCAACACGGCCCCATAATGCCTGACCCTACAGATGTGGCTTCGGCTGATGGGGCCGCGCCCTCTGGCCGGTCTAACTATGCTGCCAAAAGCATCGCTCAACAGCGGCCACGCCGGCCGCATTCGGCTCACAGCGAGCAGATGGCCCGACTTCCCAGTCCCTTCTTCTCTCTGTGGACAAAACTACATCATCATCAGCACATGGACCATAACGGCAAGCCGCAGCAGCCGCTCGAGGATGCAGGACATGGTTTCGCAGACACCAAGCCGACGACACACAAGCGATTTACCCATTCCAGATCTAGCAGCATTGGGACACGACAAAGTCAGGCCAATGCGGTTCCACAGATGACCCGGGAAGAGTTTGAGGCTCTGCCATTGGCAATACAGCGCAAGGTGTGTACCCGAAATTTCTGGAGAATCCCCAAACTCTATATCTGATGCCGGCACGGAGACTTGTTGTTCATGGTGTTTGAGCCAAGGTCTCTCCCATGTTCGATTGCCTTTTTTTTTTCTTTTACCCTCTCTGGGCATCACCCCTCTCTCGTCTGCCCCCTCCCGCTCGCTGTTGGTTCCTGCAGCAAGTGCTAGATCCCGCATATGTCACACAAGTCATGTCCAATTGGAAGTCCCCCTTGCCTTTGCTTCTGTCCGGCGATGACACCCACCGGTGCGCACCACCGTCAGAGCATCACAGCCGCTCCTTAATTGGGGAACATGGCGGGACGGCGCCCCTGAAAAGGTGAGGAGCTCGCGCCTCGAAGCGTTGAAGGAATTGGAGGTACCTCAAGAGGCTGGTAGAATTGGCAGACAGATGAAATGAACGTCCTCCGCCAATGGTTGATATCACCAGGCCTAGATGACATGGTCCAGCTCTTCGCTGAGCGCTTCTCGCGCCTCGACAAGCACTCAGGCGCCTGAGGTTCTGCTTCTTGAGGCTTCTCATGTCACATTGGTTGACGAGCGAGTGCCTGTCAACAAGGGCAAATCTCGGTTGGCTTTGATTTGGCCAATAAGACTGCTTTCGATGGACGACGGTATTTTCCCAGGCGCATACCTGTTCACTGTTTCTCCGGCTGCTGAAGCGAACAACGCACGTGTCGAGCTCCATAGGATAGGCTCTTTGGCAACCTAACCTCAAACCACTTGTTGGGATCGAGCAATTTTCGGCAGAGAAGGTGGTGCAGCGTCTCGTATCGTTCAGTGAACACGGACGTCTTGCACCTGGACAGGGATCCTATTTCAACTCACTTCCGCGCACTTGCAGCTTCATTTGACTCTCCTGCATGCGGGTCCAACGCCTGCCAGTCAAAGCTGCTCAGGGACCCCTTGCCCTTATCCATGCCACCTCACTGGCTTCGTTATGTCCCTCCCGCTCAAGCTCCCAAACTGCCCGTCATATGCTGGTGACCCCTACACGTTATATTAGATGGCTTGATCAACGTATCTTATGATTCTATTCTTTGAAACCGCTTTTCTTCTTGAAGTCCTCGCTAAAACAAAAACCTTACAGTACTTCTCAACCCTCGAAAGGTTGCGCTTTGCTCGGGAGTCTTACCTCATCGACGGCATCACACGACACTACGACGAGATATCCAACTACAAACGCCAAAAGGGCCACAAACAGCAAAGTCGCTCGGAGCAAATCGTCAGTCGTGACGGGCGGGGACCATTAGGAGGGGAATCGAGCCTGCCATCTCCTGTTCTCGAAATACCACAGGCATCTGTCGACAACATGCGCCAACAAGAGTTAACCCGCGAAGAGCAGCTTGCTCTTGCAAGGCGTCTCCGTGCTAGCGTCATTCTGGACGCAGCAGACGAGGCTATATACAAGATGAACAGGAGGAACAATGGCCACCCAAGCGTGAAGAGGGAAGGCCTCATGCCGTCGCATATGTCTCAGCAAAACACTTTGGAGGCTCGAGAAGGCGTCAAGAACCGTTCTGAGCAACCCATCAGTGAAGAACTACCTCAGTCGTTTTATGAAAGCTTCCGATGGCTCGACGAAGAAGACGATCTGGACTTGCGTCTTTTCCTGGACGATTACCATGCCAATTTGAGGGACGGCCTTCCATCTCCAAAACAACAACGACCATCTTTCCGCAGGCAAATGTCTGTATCCAAGCTTCCATTCGGCATGCCATCCACGCCTACCCTCACCAGCAGACCAGGAAGCCACAATGCCCTAGCAACTGGGTCATCAGCGCCTACCTCGGCAGGTAGTGTCGCTAACTCGGATGGACGCACACACCGGAAGTCGCGCACTCTGTCGCTCATCACACCAAAGCACAGCCCCCAGGATTCAATATTTGACCCATCTGCAGCTCACTATCAAGATCCTGAGGCTCGATTGAAGTTACGCGTTTATCTTGCCTCTCCTCAGAAATTCGATGAGGCTATCGAGTTTGGCTTTCCCTCTACGGACGCGCTTGGCGCAGGGTCTATGGTCCATACCGAGTTCATGGAAATGCCACTCGGCCCTGCCCGCAAGAAGATTCAGTCGACGCCAAAAGAAGAAGATACGTGGGCCATGGGTACATTTTTGGCTGATGACGACGACGAGCATGTCTCTCTCAACAGCGATCAGCCATCACTTGCGGATCCCGAGTCGCCCAAAACACCCCAAGCATTCGAGACCAGATCCCACTCTCAACGTGCTACTTCGAGTGATCCAACATTTCTGAGAGACGGATATGGCATGTTTTCGGAGGGAGCTGGGGGATATGCTCAGGTGCCCGCAAACTCCCGCGAAATGACGCTGCGCATGACTCTGACACGTCCCGATTTGCGGGCGCACGAGAACGAGATCTACGGATGGCAGCAAGGGAAGCCCTTGTACCGGAATACCCGCAAGTCGATGTCTTTGGGCGGATTTGAAAACAAGAGCATGTTTTACGGGGAGCCAATACTCAATGAAAGCTTGGAGAACCAGGCAAGCATCACCTCGGAGAAGGGGGTCATGAAGCGAATCTGGAAGCGGGTTCGACGGACGTAAGAGGAGGACAACCAACACAAATTATCTCGTCACGAAACTTTCTTAGATACAGATCAAAACGTTTCTAGAGGAGAGGTTGACGGAAAGGGTAGAACCACCTAGCAGCAAACCAACCCCTCTTTATTCTTATTTTTTATTACTCTTTCTATTTCTATTTCTTTTTTTCTTTTTTTGAATGCATCAGTGGCCATAGTACTGCGAGGCGTTCAAGAGGACATTTGGCTTTGTATCATTGAGCATTTCAATGGCTGGCGAGGAGTTTTGGGTGTTTTGCTTTATTTTTTTTCTTTTTTTTCTCTTGCATGGTTTCAATTTTACACGACGCATCCACCCTTCGCGTGCCTGGATCATCACTTGGTCTCATCAATAAAAAGCTACAGTATATCTAGCAGGCAACAACAACGATCACCAAGTTTGATACCAGCACAAACAAGAATATGTTCTCGTTGTCCTTCTCCCTGTGAAGAAATGCATTGTGGTTTCTGAAATGTACGTTTCGTTACGCATTTAGCCGCTTTCTATTCTAACCGAACCTTCTTTTGCCCCAACTGCGACAGGAGGGACGGAAGTCGGAAAGGCGGGAAGTGGAAAGGAAATTAAGGCGTTCGAGACATTCTAGAATAAACACGGGATGCACGGCGGGGCGAAACATGGGACGGGAAGTCAAAACGCATATAGACACACACGGCTTGAGACGAGATGGAAGCGAAACGAACGATACATAAATAACCGAGCCAACGTCAGTGCGTACGTACCATCCATAACTAATGCACCGTTGTATTTCTAGACTACATATGTATCGAGCATCCCATTTATACAGGCGGTAGGTAATATACGAGAGTAAAGAGGAGGTGGGACATGACTTCCAACTTTATGATTCATTCGTTTGGTTGCCAGCTCAAGAGTTCAAATACAAGACGGGCCGTTTCCAACGTTTCGAACCGTTCTATATGAAAGTAGGTGGTAACGAGAGACAATCACGATAATATCGATAGTAGTACCAAGCACTACTACTTCATTGTTCACGGAGACACCGAAGTATCAAGCTTGGTTTGTCTGGTTGTGGGTGTGTTGTATTGCATTTGTGCATTCTTATTTTTCTTTCCGCTTCATTTTGACAATAGACGACGATCTTTCATGCATTCGTTGGATCTTTCTTACTTGACGCTGCATTTGCACTCCAGATAGAGAGTCTTCTCACATGAACTGCTTCTGAGTTATGTCAGAGCTGATAACATAACTGGTAGCGAAAATGCCCTCTTGGTGGTTTATGCAAGGGAGCGAGACGAGCTGGACGACGGAGGACTTCAATCATACAGACGGTAAGTAGGTATCTTCCAAGACTTTTGAATTGTTGTTACCTTGCAATATATCGGTAGAGGTACCTACTTTACCTACCTTTTGACCTCGCTGATAAACATCCGGTTCTTGATCGTTCCTTCCCCATAGGTAGTAGGTAATTTCCAGTTGAAGAAGAAGAATACAGTGAAATACGGAGCGAATCAACGCATCAACAGAAACAGAAACAGAAACAGTACCCAACGAAGGGTTTTCCTTCCTGTCGTCGTCGTTCTTGAGACCACGATGTTATTTTCTTATTCTCGTTTCCACCGAAACTTGGGCTTTACAGCCACGATACCCTTCTTGGGTAAGTACGTACAATGTCGAAGTGTGGTGTATGTACCTACTCTGTCACCACCCACTCGTTGAACCGTACGTAAATGGAGGTTATTTGAGAAGCAGGTAGGTAGAAAGATGACGGATTATTGTCGTTGATCTAGGCTATTTACCTTTTAGGAATAACAAGACCCGGGTACCTAGTCACAGAAGAAATACAGAGAGAGAGAGAGACGGACATTACAACATCAAGAACAGCGTTTTGATTCACCTCTCAACACAACACATCTCCGCAGCCTCAACCCATCCATCATCATCATACAACCAGCCTACATACCAGCATTTCCTGTTCTTTCCCTTAGTCTCAGCCTTCGACCTGGATCGTGTTCAATCGTCAAATGAGGACGAATGGAGCTACTCGAAGCCAAATCAATGTCACTTTTTCCATCCCCATGTTTGATTATTAAAAAGCCGTTTAGCACATTTCTTTCATCTCTCCTTTCCGAGTTCTCAAACCCCTCGGTTCTCCGAGACCCCAGTCCGTTGTGCCAGGCGACCCGACAGGAACATATAGACCGATATCCGGGAAAGACTTGAGACTTGTTGCTTGCTGTTTGCACGTTCCAGCTGTTTTTTCATTGATGTTTTTTTTTTTTTTTTTTTTTTTTCCCATGAGTGACATGACTAGATCGCATAGTATCTTGTCATCGTGAGAGAGTCCAAAAAAACGTGACTGAGCTTCTTGGTTGAGTGTCAAAAATAAGGTGTATGCGCCATTGTCAAGTTTACACTAATTTTGAGAGATGACGAAGAACAAGGTTTCGATCGGAGACAGATGAAAGCGCAGGCTTGACAACCATGAACCGAACAGACAACGTGTATTTTTAGACGACTACTCCATTTTGTAATTTGAACTTAATTACATCTTCATCTCCGCATAGTGATAAAGATATATCCGCCCCTTGTCATAGTCCGTAGCAAAACTGTCCTGGCCACCTATTTCATGACTACCCCAGATAATCTGCCTCTTTAATGAATGTGGAATCCACATGGTATCGACCATCCTCTCTTTCCTTCCTCCCTCGCCTCCACCTGTCCCTTGTCCACTCTGATTTCCTATTTCAGTATCTGCATTTCCTCAATCCTTTCTGGGGCAAACCCGTCCTTGTAGCGCTCCCACATCTTCTCCAGCTCCTTTACGTAAAGGCCGTGTAGCTGGTCAATCTCGCTTGTCTCCAGGTCGCTCTCGGCCCTCTTTGTAACCCGGATCGGTTTGCCAACGACAATGTTCAGCGGCCGGCGGTATGGCATCAGACCCACATCGTAGTTGAAAATGCCTCTTCCATGCAAAAACGGCAGAGTGAACTTGAGGGTTCGGAGCACAAACATCTGGAGCCTATGCAAGTACGGATGGCTCTTGGGACTGACCTGATCGTAGAGATCGTTCTCGCCAAATGCGAGCACGGGGACGATATCAGCGCCAGTGCGCATGGCCACCTTGACAAAGCCCTTGCGCTCGCCGAGCACGAGACGGAGTGTACCAGGTTGAGCCTCCAGTGATTCTCGAGCACCACCAATAACGATGGTGACAGCACGGCCCGCGCCGTGACCGTCAGTACCGCCGCGGCTGAGGATATTGGTGATTGACTCCTTCGAAACGGAGCGGAGGCCCATGCTAAGGATATAGTCGCGGTAAATCGGGATGCGGAAGTTACTGTCCAGGGTAAGCAGGCTGTTGGTAATCCCGGGAAATTTCTCAGAGAAACCGAGGGCTTCGGTGGCAAAAGCGGCGTAAGCGCCATGTGAGATGATGCCGTGGGGGTGATAACCAAAGATGTACTTCCTATCAGCGGGAAGATCGTGCGTCTTGTGCAGCTTAGCCGGGAAGTAGTCTGCAAAGAAGTGCCAGATTCGGGAGTGCCGGAACCTTTCTGAGCGGAAGCGCAACTTTCCATCGGATGCTGCTTTGCTGAGCAGCATATGAAGAAGATATGGGATAACCAATGGCCAAAGTAAAGGGATGGCGCACAGGAAGAAAAAGAAGGATACAGTAGTGGCAATAATCAGCGAGTGTAGCAGAACCGCCAGGGTCTGAAGTCTTCGCTGTAAAGGTATGTTAAATGGCGCAAATCTGATGCCGGCAGCCTGGTATGCGTTGGCTCTATCCCGCTCCATTTGTGCCCGCTCATTGTCGCTGCCCTCAAAATACAATGAAGGGTATTCGTCGTACAAGGCTTGTTTCTCTCGTCTGACGTCGTGGTCCGCATTGCTGGGCTCCTCTCGAGCTGTGTTGTCATGAATTGGGAGTACGGTCTTCTTGGAAGGCTTCTCGGCTGGTTCCTCGCGGGCACCCTCCTGCGGGAGATCTTCAACTCTTTCCTCTGTTCCCTCCTTCGTTCCACTCTCTTTCAAAGCATCCTTGAGAGCATCAGCATAATCAATACCGGTACTCGGCGCCGTTCCTGCCGTCTGCGAAACTTCTGTACGCGGAGTGTCCGTCTCGAGGACCCCATCGACTTGGGTGGAGGAAGGCGTAGCCGGGTTGGTAGTTGCTGGGTCTGAGATCGAAAAATCGGCGGACTCATCCGTCACCGCTCTCTTGTCCTTGTTTGACATCTTGGCCGGTTTTTCGTGGGAGGTTTTAGTGTTCAGTGATCCCAACGATGCGCTGGCGCTGGCGCTGGCAGTGGCGGTAGAATCAACACTGGTTGTTGAAGGTTTCAGGTCGGGTATCTGACGGATATTAGTGTGTGCGTGGTGAAACCCGAAGATTGAAGTCACTTACAGAAGTCTTGGTGTGTAGCTGTTTCTCCTTCTGATTCGCCGGGGTGCCGGAGGCCTGATCAGCAGAGGCTGAGGTCTGACCGTGACGAGCTGCGTGTTTATCGACCCCTTTTAGCACCGGTATCTCACTGGGAGCCGCTTTCTGGCTGTTCTTCTTATTTTTCTTGCCGGACTTCTTTCTGGACAGGGAACCGCTCCGCGGAGGACGGGGTCCAGAGGCGTCTGCCATGGCAAGATGTGTGATGGGAGTCCCAGTAGTTGATTACTTACCTCGGTAGAAAAGAAAATTAAGAGGCGGTCCTTGACTGAGGATGGACCAGACGGGTTTTGAGGCGTGGTCAGACTGCTCGGTGGCCGTAGCTGAGAGGTGCCTACAAGAAGGTACGGTGCAGAGTGGTGGTCAGATGTTCTTGAGTTGACGACTGCGGATGCTGTCACGCTTAGTAACGTATGGCGAGAAGTATTGACGCGCCTTCCTTGCTCATTCTACACTACAGTCAACATGGGACCTCAAGCATGCAGCAAGCCCAGCATGGGGCAGGCAGGAGAACGGGCAGGTGACAGTGGAGGGCAGGGACTTGACGACAAAGAAGCAGCGAGTGAGTGCGGCGAGGGGTTCTCCTGGTTTAGCAGCCATGATCCATGAAACGGGAGTAGGAAGCAGCTAGGTATCGATGACCGAGGAAGCTACTACGTAGTTTGACGAGGAAAGTTGGAAGGAGTTATGAATCGGTATTCTCACATCTCAATCAAAAGCGGGCATGGATGAATGAGAGGGAGCCCGCGAAAAAGAATTGACAAGTGTACAATGAGCAACGTACATACCTTTTTCTGACTTGGGACTTGACAGAGCAATCAATGTTCACATTCCATCAGTCTCTGTAGATGGGACCAGCCGAGGTGCTCGAGCGATGAGATGCCTGGTGGTTTGACAAAATGTGTAGGGCATGCATGCAATGGATGGCTTGATGTCTGGCAGCAGCGAGGGGTTGATGTTCGTGACGCTGTGGAGTCCCTGCCAGCATGTAGCTTTCGCGCATAGAGCTAACATATCATCTCATCTATTCCGTACTTTGCTGTTAGTAGTATACTTGTCAGATGTCTATGACGTTCTCGGGTGGGGTGATCTCGGCAGGGACCGAGGTCCCGAAAGCTCCCGTCCTGCCTGCTCGTTCCTTCCGGGAATGGCCCGGAGGCTGCACGACTTTCAAGCACCACCCCAAGGCAGAACAGCGAGCACTCTTTCTTCGGCCGCGTTTAGAGTTTTCAGATCATATTGTGCTACAGGCTCATGGACCCCTCTCCTCATCGTTATGATGCGCAAAGGAAGTCTTGACGCCTTGAGACAGAACATCATGATGAAGATGACGGCTATAAATTTACTGGATCTATCCAAGCGATCGATTTAGGCCAGAGCCTCAGAAAAGACAAGACCATGACCCATCTGTTTCAGCGACAGCATCTTGCACCTCAACCCCGACTAAGCGCAGTGGCCTTATAGTGGACATTACCGTACACGTGTATACATACATGCCTTCCATAACCATGCAATGCGGTTGAACGGTAAGATGCACTTTGAGATCAGGCAGCATTCATACGATAGATACTTGTTTATTCTTCCTCCCGACACTTTTGCGTTCCGCTGCCCCATCTGTGTTGTCCCAAATTTATTCACTAACAGTGGTCCTTGCCTAAAGCCCAATGCCATAAACCTCGTTTGCACATTACAAAAAACTTCTTAGCAGAAGCAAAGCATAACACGCTTATTAGACGGACAGACGGATAGCCTCAACTGCATCATGCCTCACCTCGGCATGAACTCAACGTGGGCTACGACCATCAAACCGCGCTTATGTTGTTGATTGCCCTTTAGGAGCTATCCTCCCGCCATGTAAGGATTATCGAAGCCAGGCGTGTGCCAGTGACACCACCATCTACTAGGATGAAACAGCCGAAGCCGAAAAGCAAAAGCAACACTTGCGAACTGATTCTAGACTCCGGACCAGACGCCGCGTGAACTACGTGAAGCCTATCAAAACGCCATGCCGGCCACCTAACCCCCAACCTAGAAAAGATACGAGTCCCGCCTTTCTAATAAGCATATTGCCGGAGTCGAAAACTGACAGGTCCGACCGGACACTCGACTTATTCCCCACTCGTATATCCTCCATGTTGCCTTTGTCCGTGTCCATATAGAAATGAATGGATTGTCACTTTCCGGTGACGCCAATCATGTGCTGAATCCATGCCTCACTCGCCCAAGCAGCGACCTCCGGAGCGAGTTCGCGTTCCTATTGCTGTGCTGCAGGCGGGGGTTCTTGCGTCTCGGTAGAGACGTGTTGTTGCTGGTGCTCTGGCTGATGATGTTGTTGCTGATGCTCTGGCTGGTGTCCTGGCTGGTGCTCTGATTGGGGTTCAGGCTGGTGCTCGGGTTGGTGTTCAGATTGGTGTTGCTGCTGATGGCCCTGCTGATGCTCTTGCTGATGCTGAGGTAGGTGCTCTTGAAGATTGGCTTCTTGATTTTCCTGGTGATGATGTTCTGGTTGATGGTGGAGTTGGTGTTGCTGCTGATGTTGATGCTGCTGCTGTTGCCGGAGCGCCGTGACCTCGGCAGTCAGGACAGAAATGTGCTGTTCATGATTGGTACACTTGGCCGTCAGATTTGTTAGAGTCTGG